ATGTGAATAAACCTGAAAGTTTTCAGACTGATTCACGTTTATTCTTCGTAATCGAGTTTGTTCCTGGTGGCGATTTAATGTTTCATATGCAAAGACAGCGAAAACTGCCCGAAGATCATGCAAGGTAATCGCATCATATTCTGTTCGATTGGTTGATGAAAATCTTGAAACATTTCAAATATGAATTGAGAACGAAACTCTGTTAAAAATTAATACAGTTATTGAATTGCAGATTCTATTCGGCCGAAATAATAATAGCATTGCACTTCCTGCATTCGCGCGGTATCATCTATCGTGATTTGAAATTAGATAACGTATTGATCGACGCCGAAGGTCATGTGAAGTTAACTGATTATGGAATGTGCAAGGTTGAAATATGCCATTGTTGTTATTTTTTATGAATACCATTTTATTCTCACTATTATTATTGTTAATGTAAATATCCATTGTCATAATCTTTTATCGTATTGTTGAATATTAAATTTTCAGGAAAATATAGGACCTGGTGATGTGACTAGTACATTTTGTGGTACACCGAATTATATTGCACCGGAGATTTTAAGAGGGGAAGACTACGGTATGGTTTTTACTATTTGTTATGATATTGTTGATTTGAGAGCATATGTTAGTGTTGATAGCAGCAGATAGATTTTGGTAAGGAATTTCTTTTGCGTTTCAGGATTCAGTGTGGATTGGTGGGCACTTGGCGTGTTGATGTATGAAATGATGGCCGGTAGATCGCCGTTTGACGTGGTCGGTATGGCTGGAGATGCCGAGCAGAACACTGAGGATTATCTCTTCCAAATAATCCTCGAAAAACAAATCCGTATACCAAGATCTTTATCAGTGAAGGCCGCCACCATATTGAAAGGCTTCCTGAATAAGGTAAATCATCTTTCAGATGAATGCTCCTAGTCAATGTAGGCAACATCGAATGCCAATAGGCGAAATCCATGTTGAAATTATTGACAATGTCATAGAAATTATTTGCGCAAGACTTGTAAGAACAATTAAATTGAATATTGTCGCGATTGAGAGGACAGGGTGCGATTTCCCCGTGATTTTATCTGATCGTGAGGTAGACTGTTGGCCAAAATTGGTTGGAAGCCACTGGTTTAGGTCTCAGTTTCTTCAGTATATCGGATTCAGGAATGAATGAATTAGTTCATATCATTCCCTTTAGTCCATTGCAATCGTTTCCATTGGCTAAGAATCTTTCATTTAATGGTGTCTCTAGTTGGTGATTGAAGAAGAGCTCTATTGCAGATTGCATTGAGCTGTTACGAGTGAATTCCGTTCAGCTATTACATTAATTCATTAATATTATAAGTAATTCACTCGTTTCATTAATTGTTTCGAAGTTAATATGGAATGTTGGCTTGATAATAAGATCCGGTAATTCTGAATGCACTTTTTTCATTTCTCAGAAAGAAGGAAATAATTTTAAGGATCCAAGTGAACGGTTAGGTTGTAATGAAGATATCTATGAGGCACTCGATGAAATGAAGGCGCATACATTCTTCCGCAATAGTATCGATTGGGAATCGGTAAGCATTTTTAATCCTTCTTCGTGGATTCAATCTCTCCGTGGTCCTGAATTTTTGATCTCTAAATCATCCACTTGATCTAGAAATTTGATTCCATTATCATGCAATCCACTGATTTTGTTCGAAGTGTAGTCAGTATGAATGCCTCTGAAAGAAATCTGATTCATTACAGCTGGAGGCACGTCAAGTTGCTCCACCGTACAATCCTTCGATAGAAAATGATCGTGATTTNCTGACTCCGGATGATCCGTAAGTTTTCGAGAGTATTTTAAAAGGATTCCTTCCAAAACACATCTGATATTCATTTTAATGAACAATATTGTTATTCAGCTAACAGAAAGAAATATCTGAAATGATCTTATTTGATTGCAGAGCCGTGATTGAACGTATCGATCAAAGTGAGTTCGAAGGATTCGAATACATCAATCCCTTATTAATGTCAAAAGAAGATAGTGTTTAAGATGTGTGCTTTCATCTGTGAGAGCATGGAGTTAACTGATCGTGAATAAAATTCAAATGGATCATACATAGATATTATGCAAATAACAGATTAAACAAATCACCTGATATGACAAATATTATGTGATTGTTATGGTTTTTAATCGCGTTTCGAAACAGAAATGATTTATTTAAAGTGATATTGTCTGATATGAAACCTCAACGAAACAGTGATTAAGGTATAGCTGAATTTGGATGCTTGACCATTATAATGTAATATTATGAAATGATTCGATAGAATGAATCTAATCGATGTCTACTGTATTATTGTTTTTAA